GTGTCCCCCGGTCTTCCTTGCATTTTGCTGCCTTTTCCCCTCATGTTGCATAATCCCAAATAAGCCCACCAGTGCCCTTCATATATATCTTCTTCTTTTTGCGGTACGCGGGCCTCTCACTGCTGTGGCCTCTCCCGTTGCGGAGCACAGGCTCCGGATGCGCAGGCTCAGCGGCCATGGCTCACGGGCCCAGCCGCTCCGCGGCATGTGGGATCCTCCCGGACCGGCGCACGAACCCGCGTCCCCTGCATCGGCAGGCGGACTCTCAACCACTGCGCCACCAGCAAAGCCCCATATATATCTTCTTATACCTACTGATAGTAGGATTTTCTCCTGTGCCAGGGAAAAGAATTAGCTCCTGAGTTGGAACCCATTTCTCTCCACTCCAATCTTGTCCATCCTTAAATTTCAACTCTCATAGAACCTCCTTGAAGAGTTCCCTATAATACCTCTTGTCTCTTCAAATCCTGTAGCACTTTTTACCAGCCAATTACACTTGCTGCCTGTATTTGGTGGGTCTCTCTCTTCTCACTCAATAGCGTATAAAGATTTGGAGGACAGGATCTGTGCCTTCTGTTATCCCGATGCCTCACACATAATAGATGCTCAATAACCATTATTGAATGAACAAAATCTCTCCCCTCCAAATTTTCTTTATTTATTATACTGAACTACACCTCCGAGTCTTACACTGTCACCGCTACACAATTAAATAGGTCTATTGCTGTATAGAGACCTAGGACAGCCAATGAGAATCTGATCAGGTTCCTGTTCTAATACTGCCTCCAATTCTACTCTGGGCCTTTACTTTCCTATAATACAGGCAGCCCTTTCCTCTGTGAATACTGAAGAGTGATAGAGAGTTTATTCAAGTCTTCAGTGTTTCCTTTGGAATGTGCCAGGGTGGGGAATAGTGAGGAAGCTTTCCTTCAGATCAGTTTCAAATTCAGGACATCAAACTGCTTCCCTTACTCTTGTCTCCCTCCTCACAATGGCCCAGTGCCTGGTCAGAGTTCAGTACAATCAGCATGTTCCTAGCGTTTGGGGGGGGTCGTGTCACCACACATTGGCCCTGATGGACAGTATGACTGACCAGTAAGTGATCAGTGGCCCAGCCCCGTCTCAGCTCTAGCCAGTGATTCAGCACCATGGACAAGGTTAAGGAAAGACAGTCAAGTTTTCCTTTTTCTTCCCAGCTCTCCTGTACTTCTGAAGGCCAGTGAGGCTGGGAATCCTATTCTAAACAAGCTTGAGGAGAGGAGCAGGTGGCAGCCTCCCCTCCTGGAAAGTCCACTCTTTGAATCATAAATCAGACGCTCTGCTTGTCTAAAGTGACTACACAGAAAGAGTTCCCTTTTCTTGGGGTAAAGGTCTCATGCACAAACTAGGCTGACACTTGTCCACTGATAGCCTCCCACTGGAATTTAACTCACTCAGGTATTCTACTCGGGCTGTGTCGATTTCAGAGGGGTCTCTATTACCATTGTACTGTATGTGGGCTTGTTCAAGTCAATATTCTTATATAAAACAGTGGAAAAAGCCAGGATATTCTCTTCTTCTTTTGAATTTTTTTTTTTTCAGTATATACACATTTTATATTCTGCCTTTAAAGCTATTTCTGCTGCACAGCTGCTTTACCGAGACTCAGACTCCTACGGCCCTGCTTGGTCCAACATGCACCTTGAATATCCTTTCACATTGTCTGATTTCTGCAGTCAGTTGTATAATGAGGAGGGAGTGTGCATTGAGTTTGGAGATTCCTATTAACCAGGTCGCCCGTGAATCTATTTTCGTGCTTTTCTTTATTAGAAACAGCAGGGAACACGATAATATTTAAACACAACTACTTATAGGAGCTTGGCTTCAAAAATACACCTTACCAAGTTTTCTTTTCCCATTTGACATTTCAAAATGTTGTACTACATTTTCACATCATCAAAGCAACCCTTCTCCATTGGCACTCTAGGCTGTGAACACAGACCATTGCAAATGACAGTGGATGTTTTGGAGCGTCATTTGGATTTGCGATCCTCTGCTGACATATTTGGAGTGTTTCATTCTGCTCTTGGCATTGCCTTTGAAGATGGTCCATAAAAAGACAGACACAGACCAAGATGATAAGGCAGGACAGGTGTTGGGAATAGACAGAAGAGAGCTATCTTCAATACTTGAGCGAGGGGATCTCATGAGAAAGGGGAGTAGAATTATTCTGTGTCGTTCCCAAAGAGAATCAATGAGTGAAATCTATAGGGGGACAGATTTTGAATCAACCTAAAAAGTACCTAAATACTAGAGCTGCCAGGCTCTCTGGAACAGGCTGCCATGTGAGGTCGTGAGCCTCCAGGCACTGCAGGTGCTGTACTCCTAGTTGACCGGGCTGTCTGCCCAGAACGATCCTTCCAGAAATAACAGGTCCATTTCAGCTGTGAGAATCACTGCTCCTTACTCTTTGGCATTACTGTTGGGACTCAGGGCATTGGAAACCATAGGTGCTCTTGTCTCCTGGGAGCAGAAACTGTGAATCCTTTTGAACTCCTTAATACAAATGCCCTAAGAGGCCAAGATAGCCAAAGATAAGGTAGAAAGTGAGTTTGGAGTTGTTGAGTCAGGCAGCCTTTTATTTCAGGCGGATACTTTATTCTCATGACCCAGCTATTTAGATGATTGTTTTACATGTCTTAAAATGGACCACAATCCTTCATCTTGTTGCGTTAATCAAGACTTGCCCAATATCTTACCAACATCGGGATGTCAGTAAAAATGGGATAGTGATTCCCATTCAAATAAAAGGAGCTTTACAGTTTATACAGTACGTTCTTCTAGATTTCTCCTTTGGATATTCCCCACAGTTCTCTAAGGAGGCCTGGAAAATGTTGTTTTCTCAACTTCTATAGGGAGAGAACTGAGACCTAGAGGGTTTAGTGACTTACCGTATCATGCAGCTTGCAGGTAGTGCTCGACCTGGGCTGGAGAGTGGGAATTGGGATCAGGGAAGCTGGGCAGTATCTGTGGCCATGCCGTACATCAGCAGTGTGACTCTGGACAGTTTCATGTGTGCGGTGAGGGTTTTGGAGTAGGATGAACCCCAGGGTGCCCACCCTACCCTGCTGTCTTGGCTTCTCAGGCCTCTTCATACGCATGGCCTCTGGCACAGTCCTTACTCTTCGCTTGACAGGTAGGAGGTAAGATGAAACAAATTTTTGGGTTAGAGAAAAGCATCCTGATATGCTGGTGTGTGTTTCCAGGGTGGTGACATTACATTTCAGCTGCTGTAAGACACCTCTGTGTCAGGTCACTTTCATAAGCTTGAGAACTTTGGCTGCATTTTGGTTTGGGGTTTGGAATTTGAGGATATGTTTGTTTACCTTTGTGGACTCACTTGTGGTGTGGAGCGGTGGAAGTGGCCTTTATGAACTTCCTCTACCCTACATGTACAAAAGTCAGCAGG